TCAGTTTATTACGCTGTTTATTGTTTTTATAATGAAAAAATCTGCAAATTACAGTTCAGGGAGGAAGGCCATTGTCTTTCACCATCTCACTAGTCTGATCATGTCTTGTCGTTATCTTCGGTTTCTAGCTTTTAACGGTAGTTCATGATAGTTCTGATGTGTAGCTTTACATCAAACATAGCAAAATTTCGTTCCTCTTGCTTCCACATCAAAGCTAAAGTTACATATAATTTACTGCTCTTTGCAACCAGGAGAATTTTTCTTGAAAAAGTAATTATCTTTTTGTTTTCTAAATGTTCTTCGTATGATACCTCAGATTTGCCCTGTAATAATTTCTCCTGTGTTCATTCTTTGCTACGGTAGTATCGACTTTCTAGCTTTTAAGAAATTTTTATTCTATTATTTTAATTTATTTACAGGATGAGTGAGGTCTTGTTCAATATATTTAAGATAACTAGCATTGAAACAGTTGTAAAATTTGAGCAAAACTATTAGACACTTTTTACTAATAACGAAATTTTTTGAGAAATTTTTAGAAAGTGAATCCTGCGTGGCTTTTTGCCAATGTGCATCTGTTTCAGGGTGATGAATAAAATTACAATCATGTCAGTTAAGAAGCGCCGACAGCTTCGGCGACTGTTAGACCTTTCACTGGATTCCTCTAAGCTGTCTGATGCGAACACATCGTCTTTCGGCAATGGGTATTCTATAAAAACGTTGGACGATTTACGCAGACATATTGGCGAAGATTTTGGTAACATTCCTGCTTTTTATTGTTGTTGGTATTAGTCTGAATTTTTCAATACGCTAAAGTTGTCATCATACAGATAGAAAGTGGAGCTAAAATTAGCCATTTTTCTAAACAACATAAAATCTGATGATCTTACATTTTTTTAAGGGAACCTTTTATAATGAGTTTATCAAATACTTGCCATATGTAAATTATCTTTTTACTTTCTCCATTTGTATTTCTGATTTTTATTGAAATTCTGGTTATCTTTTTGTCATCGTATTTCTTACATAGGCGACGTAAGCATGGAGGATCCTGTCACTGGGGAGGATAATTGGATTAGATGCGACCCGTCAGTTTGGAAGGGCATACCGCTGGGATTGACACCAGAACAAACTGCCGAATCCCTTTGCTTAATATTAGATGCAGATTATGAATAAGTTAAGTTGGTTACGAAATAACGAGATGGCAGCTGATAAATTGTCAACTTTATACTTTATTCATTGATCTTGCCTGCTAGCTTTTCTTCGACTGATGTGAGATGGCAAGGTTGGCTACACCAGGTTTAGCTGTTATCAGTATTTTAATCGTTCTTTTATCATTGGAACTAAATTTTCAATACGCTTCAATGGGTAACACCGACAAATTAAATCCTTGGAATTTATGCATTCATAAATAAATAGAAGAAATGCCGAAAAATTTGGTCGCTTAGATGCTTAAAACGTAGCTATAGAATCTTCTCTTTTTTTGACGTTCGCTGTTGGTTTGGACCTTCAATCAGGATAGAATGAAAAGAAAAGTTTTTTTGTACTTTTCATTTAAAAATTTAGCATCGAAGCTTTCAAGAGTCTTGAAGTTGTTAGCTGTAGTAATATTATTTAAGATTTTAGCCTAGTGGTTCCACATAGACGGGACCTTGCTAACAAACCATTTCGTGACGTGCTTGATCTGACAAACTTAAATTTTGATTATTGCGGTCTAAAAGGATGACATCTGTCGAGAAGAGTATTTCAACTATCTGTATCTGTAAACCGACAAGATATTTTCATGAAGATAATAAGGTCACATCTGACTTTTTGTTGAAGACGGTTCAAACCGATTTAACAGTCATTGCGCACTATGGACGCTATTTCATTTTTTTAAAAACAGCTTTTAGACTGCGTGACTTGTGAAGAAATTTCACCATATTATTGCAAAGAGATTTTTGGCTTATTCATGAGGGTTATTACAGAAGGGTTAAATAGAATAGCATCGTATTTAGAAATAGGGAATGTGTAAATCTTTTCTAGGGGAGCGAAAATTTCAGAACTACACGACTTGGAGGCAAAAACTTGTTTTGGAAGTTATTTTTCTGTGTTTTCTGTGGATGGCGTGATTGGTGTTGGGACTCTTTTTTAGTTGAGCTTGACATCTTATCAAGTCTTTTTGAAATTCTGCTATTTTTCGATCAAGGGCCTGTTCTGGAGTTACTTTTTTGCCCAGCTTAATTTAACAGCGCTTCCAATAATTCATAGTTTTCTTACCTCAGCTTACAGTTGGATTATTCATCGAAAATCTGGAAGTTTACTGTTGCTGATAGTTCGACTTATTTCTTAACTGTGTCGTTATCAGCGGCGAAATCGCACTGTTGGATTACTGACGCTGTTTTATGAAATTATTCAGAGTACATTTCATTTAGGTTCAAAGTTATTTTAGTTTTCAAAGAGTACGGACATTCCGCAGTAGGTGTGTCTGTTGTTTGGAATTATGGCATTAAAATTAGAGTACTAAGGAATTTATTTTTTAATTAGGTGAAAAGTAATTGACATAAGCATGTGCTTGTTTAAGTCACAATGTAAGCTTGATCGAAATTTGTTGTAGAAAAATGTGCTTTTTTTGGTGTATATATATAATATATTTTCTCTGCAAGCGAGAGTGCATCCTAAGTGAAGAAGAAAGTGATCAACTGATCAACTTTTGCGGCAGTGAAATCAAGTCGTAATGAAAAAAATCTGACCTGCAAGCCCTTGTAAGTTAGCTTTAACTTACAGACGTCTCAGTAAAGTGAAAATTTGAAGGGTACTGTTTGTAGTTTGGCAGGAGCACACACAGAGCTCAGTGCAACCAGAAAGGAGATAAATATTTAAGAGAAGCACACTGGCGGTGCTCGAAGTAAGGTAACGTAAAACCATGGATGGATCAAACACACTTTGTCGAATTGATGATTGAAGTGTATAGTGCCTTGCTTTAGCACTGTTTATACAGTGTTGTATACTTGCTTAAAACTAGCTTGATTTCCTTTTTTTCATTTTGCCTGTTTCGTGGAGAGCATCATTTTGGATACATTAACCGCAGCTGTTGGTGGGGGAAAAGAAATGAAAGGACAAGGAAACATTATTAGCCACTTGATTCTTAAATCTTTTTTTTCTTCATTGAAAGTATTCTTTGAGGCGGTTGCGTTGGAAAGTGGTACACCGCTGTAACTAATCTTGCTTGTGACGGAACATCTGCTTATAGTCTTTCCTCAGTCGTCTTGTACAAAGTGGAGTTTTCAGTCTACCGGCTTTAAATTTCCTAATTTCAAAGTTTCTGTCTGCTTGCCCTTCATTTTCAATAATTGATGGTTAAGCCGCAGTATAATTCTTATACTTTTTCGCAGCAGCGCTTTCTTAATGACATAATTGTTTCGAATATCAGGTCGACTTTGTAACCATCTACCGTTAAATTCATCCCGATAGGTTTTTAACTTCTGCTCTTCCGCTTTCAACTCTGCTAGTATTTTTAATTTCTGATTCAAGCTCTTTCACTGGCGAAGGGTTTAAAAAACTGATCTAAAAATAACAAGAGTCTTTTTTTTTCCGTTTGAAAATAACGTCTAAGATTACTGTGTTATTATTACTGATCACGTTATTAACAGTACATCGGGTTGAGAGGAGAAATGAGTGTAACAAGTTAACTTAAAAAAAGTTCTAATAATTAATTCGTAAGTTCTTTTTTACAATGAGATCGAAAAAATTTTAAAAAAATATTAACAAAGTACCATTATTTGAGATCTTTATTCAGCGTTGGCTTGGTACACTATTGATTAGTTCTGAAGACATTCATATAGCATCGGCACATTCAGGAAAAAAATGGGCAACTATTTCTTTGTTAGGCGTTGTCATACCGTTTGCCCAGTCGTTTCCAAGTGGTCGATTCCAAGCTTCTTCTGTCTGGCCTGGCGGTTTCAGCATTTCTTCCATAGACTTTGTAAACTGTAGCGGAAGTTTTGGCACTGCTGTCAACACTGTCTTAGTTGCTTCGGTTCCTGGTCGACTCATGTTGTTCCGCGTATCAACAGACCGGATGAATGGTAAAGTTGACGGACGAGCGAAGAGGCTGCTTGGTGATGAAGAGAGCGTATTTGCGTAAGTGGCTGTCAAATACTGACCGTACTGCGTAGTTGGATCAGTAATTGTTACCGCTTGCGATATCAAATCTTTTGTAGAGATCCCTCCTAAAGCCGTTGCAGTTTTCAAAAGAGCCGATGTTTCTTCTTTGACAGTAAATGAAGATTCTGAACGTAGTGGAGATGGAGTTGAGAATGCTGAAGGGCATGGTGCTGGCAGCTGTGAATCTGCTGTAGTAGGAGATGTACGTGTGTGGATAATGTTTGGCAGTCTACTCATTTGATCAACTTCGTAGTCAGACCGGTCAGAGAGCTCTGAGTAATCTTGCAGGTTGTTGCTAATTTCTTCATCGAGCGGGCAAAATAGTTCATACAACACATTTTTGTACGAACTAACTTCTTCTGGAGTTGTCGGTTTTGCATTCTGAATGCGTAAATTTTGCTGTACTGCATCAGCTAAATTCTAAAATCACCTTATTGAAAGTGAGAAATTTTATTAGACAAACACAAGTTCCTCCTTTTTTAATCGACTGTTATAGACGCGATTGGAAAGCGTTACAGGTGAAAAATTTAGCACGTTATTTTTTTTTTACATCTCAAAAAGAACTAACTTTTAGTATCGGGAGAAGCAGAAGGTAATTGCCAAATTGGGCAGATGGAAAGTTAATCTTTGGACGCGATTTTTTAAGCGATTTGAACAGCAATTCTTGCAACAGTTCTCTCGTATGGTTTACAACTTGCACTGCTAGTTTGCTTAACCCTGGTGCATCTGTAACTGCTGAACTGGTAGTTTGGCTTTGCTCTTTGATGAAAAATCGTTTTATGGAGTTCTTGGGTGGCTGATTATCGGTTTTATTAAGTTTAAAAAAAATGCATTTTAATTCAAAGATAACGACATCAAAACTAAAAGTTTTAGGCATAAGTCGTTGCATACCTGGATTCATTGTAATGATAGCTTTTAGCACTACGAGCTCGGCATCCGATGGTGTTAGACGACGTAGAGGTGCCACAAATTCAGTTAACGTTCGCGTTACTAAATCGTTCTTTCTGAAAACTTGGGTAAGGTGCCAAAGAAAAATGATAAGATTCATGCCACTGGTAAACTTTTCTCCGTTGCTTTTGATTAAGTTACCTATTAAATCGTTTATTAAAAGACATAATTAAACAAAACTATATTCTGCTTTATTTTTTCATATTCTTCTTTTACTCAATGTTAAAAGTGAAGTTGAAACACGTGAGTTTGATAAATGTGAAAAGGAGGAAAAAAAGGCAAATGCAAAAAAATATTATTTTCGTGGGGAAATGAAGGAAATCAATGAAAGCTGAAGAACTGGACATATCTTGTTATGTAGGGAATGAAGACTCAGAAAGTAGAACACAGAAAATATGTTAGCTTGGGAAGGAAAGAATCTACAAACATATACTGCATTTTTCAAAAACTGGTTCCTTATGAGGATCTTATAAGGATTTATCGATCAGCTCCATAACTTAATGCTAAAGTTCTTAGGTCGCTAAAACAAGTTTATCAACCTTGTATTCAGAAAAATTTTTATTGAAGTGCTAAAAAAACTGCTTAGGCAACTGTCTTTCATTTTAAACTTGTTTTAGCGTTTCAAATCGAAGGCAGTTGCCTTAGCAGTTCGGTTTTAACTTATAAGTTAAATCCAGAATGGATTTTTTATCTGTTATCTACATTAGTTGACGTGTCAAAGAATAAAAAACTAATATTTACCCTGTTTTGTCGGACTTGTCATTGCAGCCGTACAAACAGAAAATGTCCGAGTTTGTCGATGAGGTAGCATTCTTCGCTGCTAACGTAAAAATCGTGTAAGAAGAGAAGCAGTGTTTCAGCAAGGCAAGCTGTAAAGTGATAAAGAAGTTCTCAGTCAATTTTGTTCTTATACAAATAAAGTGTGTTAGATAGAATTATCGCTTGTATTTTTTCCTGCAAATTTTTTCTCTAATAGCTGTTTGAAAGACTTTAGTAAACGTTGTAGAGCTATAAAAATTTTGCGCTAAAAGTTACAAAAGTTTTATAGCTTATAACAGTTTTGAAACAAATCGTATTCAGCTTAAATAACGGGTGAAAAAAACTGACTTGATCGTCAATGGTGAACACTTTTTCTTCACTTTCAGCTTCTGCAATGTTGCACAAACCGGATATCCAATTGATAATTTGCGTTAATCTCCAAAATGACGTGACGGACAGGTCAGATACAGCCAGTACAGCTTGTTGTGAAGTAGTTGGAGATAACGTCTGAAAAAAAAAATTGAATGTAAACTTATAATTGAAAAGACACGGTAGTTAGGTTTTATAATTGTTGGACAAAGTAAGGCACCTTATTGGCTTGAGAGGTGCGTTGGACAAGTAGACGGCGTAAAGAACTGGTGGTTGGAACATCTGTGGTGATGGTACTAGTTGACTTCTGTATACTCACATCCAAATTTATTAGATCGACTAGAACTTTCCTGAAAAGAGAAAAAATGTAAATTAAACAAAAATTTCTGCCAACTGCAACCTGGTAGCAAATTAATCAGTGATTCCCAAGCTAAACTTTTTTCTGGATTAAGTATTGTTGGTTAGTTTTTTGAAGGCAATTAGTATACTACTGGTATAGCTTTTGAGCACAGATACGTTTGGTTATCCACCAATTTTTACATCAGTGACAAAAGTACCTAAGGTCTAAGTTTAAGTTTCTAGTCCAGTCATCTCCTGAAACATCTTCTTTGATGCTCCGTCTTACTTCGTTTCGCAGTGTCATGTTTGGCGAAATGATCTTTTTTTGAACTTTTGTTAATCGAGCAATACGCTGCTTGCCAGTTTGATCACGATCCGGTCTTACTGCTAAAAAATAGCCATTTTTTAATTTCACTGACGTTTTTTCTCTGAAGACAAACTGGTAGCTTTTCGAGCATTGTATAAAAGTTTTATTTTTTTTCTTTTTCAAAGGATTTATTTCTTCAAAAATTACGATTTTACCTCACTGAAAAAACAATTTTTTGTTCTCTTTTGAGCTAAAGAAATTTTTTTCTCAAACAAAAAAATTAGACAAACATTTCGAAAATGTGATCGGTTTGAGTAAAGCTTAACTAAAGTCAACAAAAATATGCCTGACTATTTTCTAACTATTAGGATTGATTAACGTCAATTTCTAAAAGTTGTAT